CCGAGGAAGATTTTTCTGCTTAAAATTATCTCAAATCAAAAAACCCAAAAAAATTAATATAACTACAGAGTAATGATCGGAGGGCTGGTCAAAATGGCTACTTCACAAAAAAGTCGTTTTTTTTCTAAAAAAAAAAAACATGTACACTTAGTGACTTTAATGACCAAAACTTTGTTGCGTTTCGGATTTTTTTATGGACCAAATAAACAGCTATTCGAGAAAAACGCGTTTGAAGTTTTGGGAGCCTATTACACTAAGTTAAAAAATCTTACAAATCGCTTATATCTCCTAAACTACTATTTGCAAGATCAAATTAAACTTTTACCAGAATACTTTCAAATATATTCGATATATGCAAAACAAAAATTCGTGTGCCACAACATATTTTCAACGCCGTCAAAGTTTGAAATTTAACGGCGTGCATATTCCATTTTGTTTTCAAAATCACTTATCTATTTTGCTGTTTTCATATTTTCAGCGCCGTCAAATTTTGAAATTCAACGGCTTGTATATTCCATTTTGTTTTCAAAATCACTTATCTTTTATGCTGTTTTTGTTTTGATTTTGCCGCTGGCAGTTACTTTGTTGCTGCCTTATGTTTATGTATTATCGGCAATTGTGTTCAGCTGGTCATTCCGTATCTATTTCCAGTTTCGCTTTATAAATATTTAATAGTCTCGAACTTGTTGGAAAAAATGTCAACTTTCTGTGGTGGCTCCGTTCATAAATGTTGAAGCAGCAAAAGAATTTGAATGCATACGCATAGCAACTACAACAAGTGCATAGCAAGATAAGAAGGAAAAACTTCGTTAACCAGCAGCATCACTCACAGCGGTTTATGATGAGTGGTGTGGAGTGAGAGCCGGAACAGTAGCCAGACAAGCTGTGAAAAAAATATATTAGCCCAACGAAAAGTCAACGAATTTTCTTGTATTGTGAAAAAAAATTTTTTAGTAAAGTTCAAAACACAGTGGACTTTTAAAAAATCTAACACGTTCCCAAATACCTACTTACATATATATACAGTCTCAAGGGCAATCAGTGCAAAAGCGGCTAGAAAAAATTACAATGACATCGGTAATAAAGTATATGTCGCTTGTGACCACCTGCTCGGTGTTCGCAGCTCTAATTTCTATTGTTTGGCAAGCATTTCTATCGCTAAAGCAATTAAATAAAACGACTTCAATACTTACGGGACTCCTGGCGATTGAAAGCAGTTTAAAGAAACCCCTACAAGCGCCTAAGGTTGCATTGGGTTATGGTGCTTGCACCGATTTGTTGTTGCATGCGACAGACTTTCTAAACTATACCGAGGAGTTGGTAAAAGGAGTCGGTCCAGAATTTACTGTAGACGAAGTAAATGACAGACAAGAGTTACTACAAACATTCGCATATTATTTCCAAAATGGTGCAGCAGCAGAGTAAGTGCTATATATATATATATACATATATAAATTATTTTAAAAATTTTCACTGTATGATTTATTTATTGTATAATATTGCAGACGCATCATGCCCAACACCGAACTTTTTAGGGAACTTATACAAATTGCTAAGAGTAGACACCGTGACAGCATCCAATGGTTCCTTGGCGGCAATGCACCACTTATGGGCACTCGTTTTCATTTGGAAGGTGCAGACGTACTCTTAGGAGCGCGCATGTCAAAAAAGTAAGTATTGTAGAGTTGCACATATATTTATCCCCTAAGCAGGTTATATCAAGTTGTCTCGAATTTTGTAACCCAGAAGGAAACTCTGAACTATCAAATACACGTCGTTGTTTGGAAAACTTCTTTATTTGACAAGATATCTTGCCTAAATTTGTCACAGATTATTGTTTTAAGTAAAAGTATAATAATTCACGTATTTTGTTGTTCTTTATAACAACTTAAGCAAATTGTTTATTTATCATAGATTACGTCGCCTTGTGCCTGCAGAAATAAAAATAGCAGGTGATGAAATACCTGAAGATGATATCCACCTTATATTGGAGTACAAGTCGGGTGACACCTGGGGTCCACTTGTAGCGCCACGCGCGAATCGCTACATTCTGCATAGTGATCAAAATAATCCACATTTAAATTCTGTTGAACATTTTGACGCAGCAGTGCGTAATTTCCGACCACGCTTACTTGTTATCAGCGGTATACAAATGATGGATAGCTACAAGTTTGCACCTGGCGTACGCGAAGCACGACTACTCAAAGTTCAAGAACAAATTACTTCACAATCATCTGATACTTTGCAACATTTTGAAATGGCAAGTTATGTAGAAATCGAATTGCTACAATTGCTGCGCCAATATGTGCTCCCATATGTGGATTCGTTAGGCATGAACGAGCAAGAGCTAGAAAATTTGCGTCAGGTGTTAACACATGGACGCACAACACTTGCTACAGACTGGAATCCGCGTGTTGCTACAGCATTAGATCAAATGCGGGACGTATTTCAAATTTTAGCTCAAGATTACTACAAGAATGCCACTGGCTTGCCACGAAGACGTCTTTTAACCCGTATACACGTACATACACTAGCATATCAAGCATTGTTAACAGTGCGTGACTCGCAGTGGGAGCGTACGCAATTAGCGGCGGCCAAGGCAGCGCTTACAGCCCACCGACATGTATGCCAAATAGATATGGTACATCATAAAAAATTTGGCTATTTAATGAAATTATCATAAAATTTAAATTTCAGATCAATCCCGAATCTGCGCTACTCATTTTAGACGACAGTTTTTCTACCACAGCCCTCAACAAAAACACAGCCAGTCGCATACAATTTAATCCACAACAACCTGTACCATGCTGGAATGAAACTATCGCTGTGAATGATCAAAAGTCATTACCTATCGAGATCTGTGTAGCTCCAGTGTTAGTCTGTCGTGTTGCGAAGAAAACTGCTGGTGCAGGCGACAATATATCTGCGGCAGCGTTATCCCAACAGTTGTAAATTTATATATGTTACATAATTAACAAGTGCCCTCTCCAAACGACTGTTGAAACCCACAGTGACCTTAATATCATATGGATCCTATGACGTGTAGTAATGGTCGAAACAATAATTAAAAACAAAAAAAGACATATATTTATTTTACATACTTCTCAAACATTCCGCAACAAGTAAATTGAAACCTATTACGAGTATATGTTTGTTCCTTGAAGTTAGTCTAAAATTTATATTATCTGTTTTGATTTATCTTTATGGAGTGTAGTAATGTTGATAATACTTCTTGATCTGTTTGTGGTTTGTCACGAAAACTCAGCTAGATCCTCAATTGTTTAGTAATAATTTAGGTTAAATTGAACTTGAAATTGTAGAGTATTCAGTTATTCTAATATTGACAAATTTTAACTAAAAATAAAATAAAAAAATAGTTATTGAATAAAATTACACGACTGCAGCAATTAAAATTAACAACTTGCCGCTAATATGTACTTAACTTAACTTTGATAAATGAATGCTAAATTGCCTACTGATGTTAGATTTTTACATTCCTTTTTATTTCACCTTTGCATTTGACTTTATAATAAATATGCAATTGTAAGTTAAAACCTAAATATAAACTTTTATTTCTTCTCTTACACGCTCACAACACTTACCACTTACGGGTATCACTTAATACCTAAGAAAAGATCAACTTTATAGCAAAAATACAATGAGCATCCAGCATACTAAAGACCCGGCATGACGTATGCGATATTATCCAATGTCGCCGTTAAGTTTTCACTTAGCTGTGGCTTTCGGTCCAAACCGGGTATGCGTGTTGTCAGGCACAGTAGTGGTCCCAGCGAGCATAGCAGACTGTCTAACAATACGGAAAGGCTACCAGACACCGCAATTTGCCCTTCATGTTCTTTAAGTCGCTCACCGATGATGGTCAAACTCTCACCTAGCAATTTTAGGTGTGCTGCCGTATCAACTGGCTCAATATTTGGCAGTGATGACTTTCTGCAGTGCGAATTAACGGTATGTGTAACTGCTGCGTTACTCGTGTAATTGTTGTTTGTAGTGTTGTTACTGTTGGTAGTAATCGATTGTGTTGAAAGATTGTTGCTGTTTACACCACTGCCACGATTATGGCTATTATTTCGTCGACGTTTTGTTGTTAAACCAATGGTTGGGGAGTCGCCTGCACTGCTTGCCACAGAAATTGAGTTGCCACGTGGCTTCGGTCTGTTAGACTGTGCTACACTTATTTGCGGTGACGTTTGCTCTTGCCCTTCATTTAAATTTTTAGCCCTTGTTGTTGGTTTAAAATAAGCCAAGGATGGATTCGCGGCGGTAGTAGTCGTTACGCGTTCGCGGCACTTCGCTTTGGTGGCTTGAATTTTAGCTTTACGTCTCCACGAATCTTTCTCCTTATTTGAAACGTTTGCCCATAATTCACCAAGCCGTTTTGCCGTGTTTGAGAAATCTAAATAAAAAATTAATAAATTGTTTTCTTATAAATTTTTAATTATTCTAATTGCTCTTACCTAGATCTTGTCCTTTGTTCAATTTACCAGATTTACGCAACTCTCGTGCCCACATACTATACGCAGTGTAACGTGTTTTGCCTTTATCCTTTCGTTCAACCTTTCCCGTCACAACTCGTCCATCTTTCAACACCCTTCGCTTGTTTGCCTTTTCTGTCATATATAAACTTTGACGCACTTTTGATTCTGGATTACCGTTGCTGTCCGTAGGTTCACCATCCACAATGCCAGCCACTAGCTCTTTAAGATCATCATCGGAATCACCTGTGGGCGTATTGTTATCACCGTAATTTTCACCATCTGTACCGTTGTCCGACATTTCATCGTGCAATTCGGTGTCGTCTTCAGCTAAATCACTAAGATCGCCACCTAATTCGTTGCTAACATTAATGTGGGATCTACGAGCGGGCCGCCCAACACCACCCATAATGTTTCTACCACGTACATTACCGTTACGCGTCGGCAGTTTTGCCGCTCTTTTCAGTTTCTTTTCCACTTCATCTGGCGATTGAAAATCGAGTAATTTGGATGATTTCTTACGTACACGTCCACTTCGGGATACACCAGTTACTTGAAATTCTTCAAGAGTTTAATAATATTAGTAGCTGAAATCTGACAGCAAATTCAATTTTGAACACTTACCTTTGCTAGCAGTGGTATTCTGAGGCGTTTCCATAGCTATTGGAGCCAAAATTTGGATTTTTGATTTTTTGTGATTTGTTTTGTTCGTAATTCGTTGCGTTCTATTAAGAAAATTTCGATAGAAAACATGTGAAGACAAACAAAAATATAGCGCAGGGTTACATAGAATACAATAATTTTTACTGTATAAGCAATTGGGTCGGTTAATATAAAACCTAAATAAGGCATATTTTTTACAATTATTTTTTTTGCCAACAGCTTTTTCATCAAAACAGTTTTATTATTTCATGAAAATTTTAATTATTTATATAATATAAAAGTATAAATATTCATGAATAATCATATATCGGTCTAGTACATTTTGTGCAACCCTGTAACGGCTGCAAATTTGCTTAAATAATTGGCGCTTTTCCGCAGTTTGGAAGAAAACAAAGGAAAAGGTGTAAGGAAATTTAAGCGTCTTCAAACGCTTGAAACATAGAAAATTGTAAACTCCACCTTTGTGTTAAATCTGTGCTAATCGCAATATATAAATATTCATCCTTTCATTGTGGACTTTCTAATAACACAAAACAGGATGACAACGGAGACAACTCCTCATCAGCAGCACCAACAACAGCAAATCCGTATAGCACTCTCGGAAATTCCGAGCCGCTTGGAAGCTCTGCGTTTCGCAAGTGGAGGTGCTATAACGCCTACAGCTACACCAAATCGCCGCAGTCCCAATGAGCCAACACCAGCAACACTATTTAATACACCGCATCTTCTAGACAATACTACAAATGTAGCACTTTCTCAGGATAACATCTTATCGCCAATGCCCTCACCCGATGAAATGATAATTCGTCAACGTGGTCGGCGTCGTTTTAACAATGCTTTATCGCCTGATGTAGGAAATACGCCACTGCGTATGCCATTCCAACGTACACCAACAAAAGTACCATTGAGTACCAGCATGATATTGCGCAGCTCACCCCGTAAGCGTCTCACAATGGGTAGTACACCGCCGGCGCCTGAACCACCAGTAATGCCTTCACCAACAAAAGCCAAACAACAATTATGGCCACCGGGCACACCAATGGCGAAAAAAATACGTCTTGGCGGTGAAGATGGTAACTGCGGTAAACCAATTGCACAAATGAATGAAGAAACACCTTTACCAGTGTTGTTGCAAGGTATGTCACAACAACAACTTATTAATTTAATTGTTGGAGAAATAGTTGCGGGTGACGCAAAAGCCGAGAAGAGTTTTCGTACACGACTGCCTATGCCGGATATAAAGTAAGTAAAAACGTTAACTACTGTTGTACATTTCTTATAGTATGAAAAGGTATAGAAATTTCTTCAGATATTTTAGTGCTGCCTTAGACAATAATTCATGGCAAATTTTGTGAAGATATTGACAGCTTGGGGTGAAAATTACATTTAGAAAATTTCTGAGCGATATCTCAAAAAATTAGGGACTAGTTGGCCCATATACCATACAGACATATTTTATAGCTCCGGTCTCTTTTTGGGTGTTATAAACTTCGTAGCAAATTTTATATATCCTGTTCAGGGTATAAATATATTTGTAATTCTAATTCATAATCATAAAATTTAGCCTATTACTATTCCGTTTGCAGTCCATTAGAGGAGGAGTTGTTACATGCCAAACGTCAAATATTTCGCTCGCTACCAACATCACGTCTTTGTAAGAAAACCGATAGTAGCGCTTATTCACGTGCGTCTCTACATCTCAGCGAATTCAAGCGATTGCTTACCGCACACACCAAACAACTGTATGACTCGGGCAATTGGGATGCATTGCTGGACTATGTGACCATGGCGTGGCCGATTGTACGCGCCACACCGCATTGGGATAGCGCCACGCATAATGTGATCCGTCGTCAATGCTTCAAACTACTGGCATGTCATTGCATTGCAGCGTTAAAGAACGGTGGACACCGTTTAGGCATGGCACGTCTACACGAAACCGAACGAAATTTGCGCGAATGGACGCGAGACTACGAAGATGTTCAATCGTGCTTAAGCGCTTTGAACAAAACGATTGCGAAAGGGCGCGCAACGCTATAGTATATTCCTAATAGTTTTACAATATGTTATTGTACGATTTTTTAACAAAAGACTTAAGAGCATGATTTTACATAATTTCTGTTTAGTAATTTTAGAAATTTTAGAATTTTAAAGTTGCCATTAATTTCATGTATTTAAAATAGTTGGTTATAGCAATTTATTGTGATCATAAAGACAAGTGACAAATACAATCACAAATTTAACAAAACCCAAAATATACCTACAAACTTTTATGAATATAAGACCATGTATTGTTTTTACATATAGATTAGTACGAAATCACATTTTTATATATTGGTATATTCAATCATATAATCGCACCAGCTTAGTATATGTGTACATAATTAGTTGAAAAAAATTTTACAACATTTGTTTTTAATAAAAACCAATGATATAATTCATTGTTGTGCATCTCTTTAATCAAAATTACGAACTTACACATTTAGTCATTTATTAGCAGCCATATCACATGCCGGTAGTATATTAAGCGTCAGCAAAATTAGCACATGTTTACACCTAAATTCGGTATTATTATTATTAGTTATTATTTTTAAGTTTCAAAATTTGTAATATCAAATGTTTATTATACCATGTTAGCTCTAGAAAATAACGAATATATACTCATTTCTTATATTCTGGTATACTATTATAGTTATATTTTCTGTGCAAATCATGTCATACTGTTATTTTAAATATGCTTTCACTTAGTATTAAGCACTTTATGCAGAGTTTTATTAATATGAATATAATAAAGCGTGTACATTTTTACAATTGAAAATTGTTCTCTTTTGCTGGTAATTTATTGTATTTTTTTTTATAAGCAATTTACTGCTAATTGTTTTTATAAAAAATTAACCGCCCGCTATAAAAATATGCATATCTTCCAACTAACCGGTTTCTGTAACGTAATTATTGAATTATTTAAGGGGCTATATCCAGTTGCAAGTCAGAAAAACGTGATTTTCCCTGAATTTTTTCAAGAGGGATTTTACTTCGGTGATCCATCTTGAAAATTTTTGGATTCACTTGACCCGTCGCCGATCTGCAAGAAGACCTCAAAAAAAATGCTTAAATTATCTCAAATCCAAAAACCAAATAGAATTATAACTAATTGTATACAGGTAATGATCGAAGGACTAGTTAAATTTTAATTTTTGACAAAATGGCTACTTTCCAACGATAATAGTTTTTTGAGGAAAAATGTACACCTCAAAGTGGCTTAAAAATCGAAATTAATATTAAAAATCGTATTAATTCGATCATTATGTGAGAAATATGTATATCTAAGAAGGTGGTGTGAAAATTTCAAGCATATCGATCTCTACCAACTCTGAAAACAGCGTTTCATGAAAAATTACACTAAGTTAAAAATTGTTTTCCAAATACGCCTATATCTCAACTAACTATTTGCCAGATCCACTTTAAAATTTCGGAGAATATTCTCAAATATATGTACATTCAATACATATAACAAAACCGGTTTTTTGAAATTCACAAGTGGATGGACAAGTGGCAATTTAAATTTCTTCCTTTCTACTTACCGGTCTTGAAAATATTTAATTTAGATATTTATTTAATAAAACACGCAATTCACTTTATCGTTCTTTTTATTTGTTCATACACATTTATCGTACTTTGCTCCGCACAAACATACATACATATGCATATATATATATACAAAAATATTTTTTTCTTCATAACTTCAACACTACATATACTACTACGACTTGTTACTTTATTTATGTTTTTTAAATTTAAATTATATTTATACAGTACAGTTTTACATTTAATAAATTTATTAAAAATATTATGACAACAGCTTCATATATGACAGCAAAAATAATTTTAAATATTTTTAAGATTTGTTGTTATAATATAATAAAGGATGAGTTTATTAATATGTTAAAATAGATACAAATGTACACATTTTTATTATTGAATGCATATTATCGTCTATACTATTCACATTTTGTTATTTAATTGATAGTTTTTTATTTAAAAAAACATTTTATTTAAAATTCGCTTAAAACTAATTTAACACATTCGTTTGGGTATTGTTGTTGTGAGTTTTCGTCGTCAAAATCTTCGGATGCGATAAAGGTAAAGAAAAAAAGTTTGGAAATTCCAAAATAGTTGAATATATTCAGTTTAGCATGAGAAGAAGTGCTTAGTCTAAAGTGTGTTCACTTTAGTAACTTTACTTTTCTTTGGTATGATGGCTCCAAGTCTGGTTAGGTATATTTGGAAGTTGATTTGTTACAATATTCAAAACCTTTTTGTATGATATATGTACAAGTATACACCTAAACTGTTTTTACACAGTTTGAAAATAATTTTTTTATAGCTATATATTTATTCCATTTCACAAAGTAGGATTTAGAGGATGTGGATACACACAAGTTTACTGGTCCGAGCAATTGTAAATAGCACAAATTTATGGGAACGATTATTGTCTATTTTAACAATTTTTTTCTGGAACCAATCTAACATGTGAAAACAGAATTAGGTGTATGAACTTATGGAACACCCCCACAACAAACGCCATAACCAGTGAAGGAGAAGGAGAGACGGAAAAGTTCGGCGACAGTTTCTCTCGGGCCCAGAGTTCTCAGCGAGGCCCGGTGCTGTGCAACAATTTTGTGCAGATTTTTTCTCTAACAATTCACTACAAATGTCAGCATGCTCTGGTTTTCTCTCTACGGCCCTGAATCTAACCTTCTCTTATTCCTGTGACAGGTTTCCAAAATGCCTGGTTCATTGTTGACAACATATATTTTCCACTTTTCATCCATTATAGCTCTACAGACTATTGAGTTTTCACGCTTTTGAAACATTTTTTTTGAGTTCTCAGAAATAATAAGCGTAACCAGCAACACATTGATGACCTCTTCAGTTACACTTACTATGCATATATCATTACGAAAGTTATTTAAGTAGTTAATTTCATGATTTTATACTACTGTCACATGTTGCACTGAGTATAATAGTTTTGTTAGCACATTCACTTTGTCGCATTTCCTCGTTTTACATCCTAAACATTAATAGCGTGCCTGCTTTCGACGTTTAAAAGTGTCAATAGAACGGCCAGCAGCAGTAAGGAACCAGTGTTCATTTGTCGGGAAGCTACCGAAATGTAACGCCCTGTAAAGTGAAGAAAAAAAAATTAATTATTATTTTTTATTTGAAATTTTAAAATTGATTAAAAATATAACATGACAAAATATAAATTTAATTAATATACGTATTAGATACCCATATAAATTAGGGGCCCCATTTTATGTTTTGGATGGTCAATTAAATTTTATATAAATTAAATGAATATGAAACAAGTAAGGAAGGCCTAAGTTCGGATGTAACCGAACATTTTATACTCTCGCAAAGTCAAATGGTATACTCGTTTGAGATTTCTTTGTGGATTGACTGATATTTTCGGTAGAAGGTCAACTATAGGCACTGGGGTCCACACAGTTAGTACTTAGGGGTTTGAACAGTTTTGGTTCGATTTAGACAATTTTTGGCCGCAAGGTGGCATACTTTAATTGCATTATTCACGCAAAGTTTTACCCCGATATAATCATTGTTACCTGATTTGCATAGTGGAAAGTGAAAGAATCAGATGGAATTGAAAATGGTGTTACATGGAAAGTAAGCGTGGTTGTAGTCCGATTTCGCCCATTTTCGCACTATGACATAGAAACATGAAAAGAACCGAATTTGGTTGAAATCGGTTGAGCAGATCTCAAGATATGGGTTTTCACCTAAAAGTGGGCTGTGCCACGCCCACTGACTAATTTTGAACGCGGTTCCTATAAAGCCAATTTATAAAATCTCAGAGATAAGATTTAATGTCTCTGGCGTGTTTAGTGCTTGATTTATCGCGCTTTTAGTAGTTTTTAACAGTACCGTTATATGGGGAGTGGACGGAGTTGCCACCCGATTTCAACTATTTTCACACCGTCAATAGAAGTGCTAAAAACATTTGCTTATAGTGAATTTTGTTATTATAGCATTAGCGGTTTAGGAGATATGCACATTAAACCTATTAGAGGCGGGACCACGCCCACTTTTTAAAAAAAGTTTTAACTGCAGATGCCCCTCCGTAATGTGATCCTGTGTACCAAATAAGAGTCTTGTATCTTATTGCGGAGCTTAGTTATGGCAAGTTATTTGTTTTTGATTAATGGCGTTTTGTGGGCGTGGCAGTGGTCCGATTACGCCCATCTGCAATACCAACCGTCTCACGGTACCAAGAAACATGTCTACCAAGTTTCATAAAGATATCTCAATTTTTACTCAAGTTAGAGCTTGCACGGACGGACGGACGGACGGACAGACAGTCACCCGGATTTCAACTCGTCTCTTCATCCTGATCATTTATATATATATATAACCCTATATCTAACTCGATTAGTTTTAGGTGATACAAACAACCGTTAGGTGAACAAAACTATTATACTCTGTAGCAACAGGTTGCGAGAGTATAAAAATAATAATTAAAATATAAAAATACAAATATTTTTCTTGTTAGAAGATCATTCGAGAAGTTCTTTGAGATAGTTTCATACCCAACTATACAAATTTCGTCAAAAATAAACATTTTTTTATATAAACATCAGATGATATACACTGTCACTCACTATAAAAAGGCTTCACAATTATTTTAATATTATTTTCCCCAATATTTCTGTAAACAAAAATTTCGAGATGTTCGATATTAAAAAGAGGTTATATTGACTGACCACGCAGTATTCAAGATTTATCTCCTCGTGATCTCTTTTTATGAGAATATTTTAAAAGTAAAGTTAACAGCATGATATCCTCACACCAATGACGAGCTTGAGATGAGCTCTTATACTTTACTACCTATTTCTATTTGTGAAAAATCTATGCTTATTACATATGTATATACCAAATATATTGTTTTATAATTTGCATTATAATATCACTGGAGTTATAGACAAGCAATAAAACGTTTCCAATCTCCATTCAAAGTGCAATTTCAACAATTAAATGGTGACAGAACAAGGATTATGGTAATCATAATTATTTATGAATGTAGCTTTGACTCATTGCCAGATACACAGATATATGACAACATTTTAGGAAGTATTACAGTCGTGCCATATTTGAAAAGTACAAAAGTAGGTATACAAAGTAATCGACCATGACTCAATGCAATGGACGTCACAAAGGAGAAGAGCAAACAAATTAATGTTTATAATTATACAAATTTCATATGAAACAGTAGAGGCAATTCGAATGGTTACTGCTTTCTTCTTTATAAAATGTAAATAATAATATCTATACATATATAACCATAAGTATGTACATAACTAAATATTTATGCCGCTTTGGTCTTCTGCAAAATCTATGGAGATGACTAAGCAGCGCAGTCAAAGACGAGTGACGAATATTAATTTGCAACTTTGTGGTTTAAGGAACTACTGGAATTACAAAATAAGAAGCATAAATTCAATACAGTATTCATTATATCGGCGTTTTACTGACCAATGTGGTATGTGAAGATCTGACTTTTGATTTTTATGTAAATCAATGTTTGACGCAAGCTATATGAGATGAGTACCGGATGAACATAATATAATATTAAACCACTCAAAAAAATACGACCCGCCCTGATGTATTATAAATAGTATATACTCGAACATTAAAAAAAATATTATACATCTTGTATTCATTTACATTTCCAGAAGCATAAATTTATTTAACTCAAGGTTCTCCTGCTAATTACTTAACTCTAAATATATTTTATTTCGTTGTTATTATTGAAATCTATTTATTTATCTTCGTTCGAAAAATTTAATATTTAAAATTTGTTTTCATTATTACACTAACCTCATTATCATTATTAATATTTGCTTATTTTTCATTACTAAGTACTCCTCCTTATATTTTGGTATTTGTATACGCTTCACGTCAAATTGTATACCATACACACCTATTTATGTGAGGCTTTTATAAATCATTTTTTCGACCTATTTGTTTATAATTTAAATGCTATGCACTTATTCGATATCTATGTATTTTTTATAGTATAGTGCTTTTGTTTTGTGAACACCTGCACATAAATTCCGTATAACTTGAAAAGAAAAATTGGCTAATTTTCATTTTTCATTTTAGCTGGAATTAACGAGAGGGTGCTAATGGGCTATTTTGCGCTGATTTGTGAAAATATTTTTAGGAGCGTGAAATTACGTATTTTTATTGATGCAGTAAAGTTGTAAAAATCTATCTACCATATTTGCGGGTAATCACATGGAATATTTGTTTAAAAATCGATTATGCGATGCCTCACTTCAACTACTCGTATCGTTCTTAATTTTCGAAAAAATCGTTGAAATTATTTATTAATGGTTCTGAGATATAATAAGGAGTCAACGGTCGCGTTATTCCTAAATCACATCGTCCATTAAAATATAAATTTCATAACCTAAGGTAATTGGGTTGGAAGTTCTTGACTGAGTCAAATGTAAAATTATTAGCCAACTTACATTGTTTTGCCAAAATTGGCGCACAACAGCACTCTTTCACCTGCTCGTAGAAATAGCAAGAACCAACGGTAGCCTTATAAAGCTTCTCACCCACATAACAAATGTGTGGCACGAATGGCAGACCCTCTGAAAATATATATATAAAACGATAATAATTAAAGTAAATATTAAAAGTTATGACTAAATATACCAGTGCACTACATAAAATTCTTAATAATTTCATGCTCAAATGTTGTTGCAAATTTCATATATGAGTTGATATACACAAAACACGCTAATCTAAACAAGTGTAACATATAGCAGACGCAGTAATAAAAATTTTCAATAACATGCCAAAATGTGCAATAAAAAGTAATATTAAATCTTTGTTCTACTCAACACCCACGAGTAAGTATTGACCTCAGCCACTCTAGTTCATATATTATATTGCACAAATTAGTGCAACACCTCTACATACATACTCGAATGTATGTGTGTTAGTAGAATGCAGTTTCACTTTCATGAACATTCTCCTATTTGTTTTTGTTGCTGTTTTGTGTATTTTACTAGCGGCTATAAAAATATTTTCGTGTAATGCAAAATGAGTTCATAAACTACAAATGTTGATAAATAATAAATTTTGGTGTTAAATTGTACGAATATACTCGTACCCAATATGTATCTACATGCATATATATGTATTTGTATAGTAGTTATTTTTAAAATTTAATATGTGCTTGTAAACCATGAGGGAAGCTCCATGCGCTTTGTAAATTTGAGGCTTTCGCTTTGTTTTCCTTTTGGAGCTCGTAAAAGTTACCAAATTTCCCGCACACCGAAGAATACTAAAAGTTTATAGCATGTTTCCAGCAAATCAAAACGCTCTGAAACATAAAATTTTGCTTTCGTTTCGTTGCTCATCTCCAGCAACTCAAATGTAACGGATGTTTTTATTTTTTCTGCCTTTTTGATAGCCATTTTTTCGTAATTCACTTTCGGTGCATTCGAAAATATAAATGTTACTGGCCCGTAAAGCGATGCTTCTTCTTCGTTTTTATCTCATGTACTCCGAAGCAAGAGTTTTGCTCTATTTTTGAAGTGTGAAAATATCTATAAACTTAACCTATGTACATAGTTTTTTCTTCTTTTCAATTTGTAGTTTGCAGTTTTACGCTATTATTATAGTTGCCTTAAATTACTATTAGTAAACAATAAAATGTATGCACCATAAGAAGGAACTAAAAAAAATTGTCTCCTGGAATCGTAAACATCATAGTTTAAGCTTCAAAATGCCGATAATATTGAGAACAAATTAAAAAATAACAAGAGAAAACGTTAACTTAGCTTGCACTGAGGCTGTAATACCCTTCACACATAAAAAAAGTTTCTATACTTGATTTTGATCGCCCAGTTTGTATGGCAGCTACATATGTATATGCAACAGTCAGACAGACTCAGAGTTAAGCAATTTCATTATTTTAACGGTTATTTGAATTTCTGCGAGTGACTTTTTCTAGTTTAAAAGCAAAAATTAATCGCACGGGGCCAAATTTGGTGAAAATGGTGGGTAGAAGTTCGTAGCGAAATTTAACCAAATTGGCCGCGCTGATCGGTTCCCCTTTACTTACGACTTCCTGCACGTTTCTTTAAAAAAAATAATTGTATGTTTATGAAAAATTCAGTAAATTAACAAAATATTTTGAAACAAGAAAAAGGATATATATTTATTTTCTAAATTGCTTTCCTTTCATAAATCGCAAAATTATTTTATTTTAAAATTGTTTAAAACTCTTCCTATCAATGATCGCACAAATCTTGTTAATTACATAACGTTTATAAAACATTCTAACTTGTGTTTCCGCTTTGTTGGCACAAAATAATATTGCTCACCTATTAAATACACCTCTAAATACGAACCACAAAATACCTGAGAAATACATTTAAAAAAATAATTTATTACCTCATTTGTCTATGTTTTTCTTGTTGTACCTAGGTTACAGGAAGTTCGTTTCACTTTTTTGTTCTAATAAAAATAGAAGTTCTCCTCAACAATTTCGTTCTACGTCATTGCACAAATTAGCATAAAAGTAAATGTGCAATAAACATAAACTTTAATTAGTTTTACTTTTACATTACAAGGCGAGTTCGAAGACAAAAATACTAATTGGTTTTCTACTACGAATATGAGTAAATATGTTTGAGAAAAATAATACTGGTTGCTTATATTTTTATCTTTAAAAAAAGCAAAGCATTTAATTTTAATTTTTTTTCTTTAATAGCGTTGCCTCTTAATTTTATTTACTAACTTATACAAATTAGACAAAATTTATCAGCAATACATTTTTACCTTAAATAAATTGTAATAATTCAGATACATCTTCACCTATGAGTCCCTGTGTTTCATCTAGGTACTATGGAAAAATATATCATACTTGTACTTGTCTTAAACTCAAAACTATGCTCTAACTTCAGAAAATATTGACAGTTAAGGGCACAACTAGTGTGTCTTGAGGGTAAATTTATACATATTTAAAAAATACGAGTACACAGTAAAACTTTTAAAGAAAGAATTTAAAAAAAAATGCTCCACTGCTGCATGGATTCCGGCTTTCTACGTAAAAAAATATTAAATGGCGGTATTTAAAAAAAGTTGAATATTACCCAAAATTATGGTCGTTTTTGGCCTGCCAAGATTCGAATTTTAATCAGATCAAAAAAATGGTAGATCTTTGTATCGAGAACTAGGTACATGCAGAAAATATTTGATAGTGATCGAGTCACTTGTCTCCGAGCAATCAGTTAAGCAAATTTGAAAAATTTAGTTTTGAGAAAAAATGCATTTAAAGATAAACTGATGTAAATTGAGTTGAGCAGCTACACTTTAAAGGACTGTAACCCAATAACTATTTGAAATATTTATTTACACTTTAGGTGTGCCCCTTAAATCAAATTAAATGTTCAACTCGAACTCCCTTCGAATTCACATAAGTATACCATTCAATCGAATTAAAAATAGTTTTGTTTCAGTTCATTCACTTTGTTATAAAATTTAATTGCGCGCAAAATGTTAAACAAATCGACGCCCTGCTAATACTTTATTGATACCTAACATATGTAAGTTCCATATAATTTACTTTCGCTAAAATTATTTACTATGATTTTATATTTAGTGAAAAACCGCAAGAAGGCACTAAGAAGCAGCCAATGGAACTGGGAAAGCACCAGAGGAAGCACTTCATACTACCATATATATATATATATATATATATATGTAATATGTACACAATATGTAAATATAGGTAATGCGTTGATGCACAATGTTATTGCCGCTGTAGTATTTAGTTTTAATTTTTCTTGATTTTTTTTTGGAATACTTTTCCATCTGAATGCACATTTACAAGGTAGAGTTCTTTTATTATCGCTTGATGGTTGATGCAATGGGTATGGTAACATTAACAATTTAAATTGCAATTGAAAATGTTTACATTAACATTTATAAATGTAGACATATAAAGCAAAAATGTTAATATGATTAATGTTGCTTTAAATTTTTGATAATATAAACCCATCAGTTTACATTGAACAGATTCAAAATTAAAATTTAGATGGAGAACAGAAAATATGTACTAATAATCCTTTTAATAATTTTATGGTAAATATAATTCATAAGGCAACTTAACCTTATTTTTTTTTTTGGTAAAAATAAATTTGCGAAAAATTTTCGCCTGATTGTTATCAATGTTTTCTGGTTTTGGAATCTAAATACCCATTTTGATGCACTATTATATATAATAACAACCTTGTATTTTTCATTTTTGTAATAAGTGCTAGAGCTAGACACTAGTAGAGAGAAGGAAGAACTGTTTTTTTTCCGCACCAACTCACAAATAGGATAGTGTTTTCTAAGAGTCTAATATCGAGCAATATCTACTTTTTTTCGACCTACTACTTGGGCTGAAAGTCTTTTGTTTTTTAGTAACAAAAACTGTATATACTGTAAATCTCTCAACTCAACTAGAATACTCGCAAAGTTTTTTGACATTTCAAAATGAAGCTCTAATTTCTACTAACTCGAACATGTCCATAGTCTATATTAATGTGCATTATTGGATCGATGGAACCTTTAGAACAAAATTAGGCAGAATTTTCAGACCAAAGTCTTTTCAGCCCATGTATTTGGTTGTTACACAAGAAAATATAGTATTTTATTTTGTTTGATATTTTAGATACTTCGAAAAATCCTTCAATATTTTTCCGTTGTTTTTTACTAATTTTTACTTATATAGTTATTTATAAAGAACAATATTATTTTTAATCTGAAAATCACTTGATTTTCTTAAACTACAGCATTTAAGCAAATTTACTCCACTAAAAATTATCTCACTTTATACAATATAAATGATGACCAGGTGACAAATATGTTTAATTAGGCCAAATAGGCCATGTCGTTTATTAAAATATATCAGCATGACTTTTCCAATTACTTTGCCATGATTTCAATCCCATTTAATACACATATTCACATGCAACCAGTGCCAATGTGACACTAATCAGCCACAACTACGAAAATTAATAGCAGCACAGTTTAGCTGAAGTCATTACTTGCTAAGTACTGTAGATTCCTTTACTAAAAGGAAAACTACAAACTACAAGTACAAATACGTTAGAGAAGTAGGCAATGTGACTCCAATTTAGTAATTTCGAGTTTGGAGAAATTACTGTGAATAATAGTTGTAATTCATTGTAACGGGTTATACAAATACAAGTTTACTTTGAATCATTTTTTAACTTAGTGTAATCGGCTCCAAAATTTGTTATCACGTTTTTCTCCGAACGCTGTTTTCAGAGTCGATAAGGATTTAAACGTTCTTATTTTTTAAGAAACACGGAAATGTAAATTTTTTTTGAAACGACTTTTTTGGTTTGCCGCCATTTTCTTAAAAATCTAATTTTTACTATGCCTTCATCATTACCTGTATTTCTATTATAATAATAAATAGTAAATTGGTTTTTGGATTTGTGATAATTTTATGCAGAAAAATATTCCTCAAAGCCAGACCCTTTTTTTCGGAAGTCCTCCTGGAGATAAGTTACGGGAACAAGGGAATTCAAAATTTTTCAAAACGAATCACCGATTATTAAAGTAC